CCGTTTGCGGGTGGCCGGTTAGGTAGTCAGATGCTGCGCACAGGTATTCTACGCAGAGAGCAGCTGGGTCGCGGGGAAGCAGAGGTGTGTAGGACGCTGCCAGGCCCAGCTGCCAGGCCCCGGAGTAGGACGCTGCCCCGCAGAGCTGACCCCAGGCCAGCCTGGGCACACGTGCACCCCTGATCCTGGCTGGCTGAACAGCCCAGGGGAGACGGTGTGCGCAGATCCTGTCAGGTGCTGTTTCTCTTGTAGAAGTTTTTTTCTTTTTAAGTTTTGCTATAGAGTGTGTGCACTGGCCAGAGAGAGGGAGAGAGGGCGGAGTGAGAAATCCTGGCAGGAAGGAAACTCAGAAACCGATACATGGTATCTACTTGCAGGGTGCATCAGGCACGTAGACCGGTTCTGCAGACTGCCCAGGACTTCCCATTCCTGTAAAGAGCATTTTATTGGAATATGGCTGCCCCCATTTCGTGCCAAAATAGAGTCGAGGAGTTGTGGCAGAGGTCTTATGGCCTGCAAAGCCAAAAATACTTAAACCATTTACAAAAAAAGGCTTTGTCAGAGTTGAATTTTACATCGGAGGATTAACTTGGTAAGCCTTAATTTACACATGGGAGAATATGATTTGGTGCCTCTCCGGTACTAAGTGGCTAGGCCTGTATCTGTCCTAGAGCATCGGTAACACCATTTCGGTTTGGCCTTCCCTGGGCTTAGTTTTTATGTGTAAAGATTACCCGTACAGGGCTAGCAGATGGTGTGGAGGTTAAGTGGCTGGATCCCACATGCGCGGTTTGAGTTCCAGACCCAGCGGCTTGAAATACATGCCCGATGTGTGTGTGTGCCCAAAATCCCAAGTGGAGAAGAGATTGGGGCATGGCCGTCTCCCCTGGGGAGTGATTTCTCACTTTCCCTCTCTCTGTCTCAAGTGAACATACTTACCCTATAGCCAAACAAATGGTCATAGGTACAGGGCCAGCACCATGGTGTAGTGGTAAGGGAGGCAGACCCTACGTGACCAGCGCTGGGAAGACACCTGCAGTGTGCCTGTGTGTCCAGAACCCTGACAGGACGGAAATGGAGTACAGGGATTCTAGGGTGATCGTGCCCCATTTGGGGGCGCTTTCTCCCTGGTCTCCCTCTCTGTTTCTGGCAAGTGCATGTGCCCTTGGACAGTGAATAGAAGACCTGTGTGCAGGGCTGTATAGCAGTCGTGGTGTGGATCCCACACGGCACACTGTGGTTCAAATCCTGGGCCTGTCGATTTGGAAACACGCTGGGCCGTGTGCACACATGCCCAGGATCCCGATGGGTAGAGAAGTGGACGAGGGTGGTGGCATGACCAGGTCCTGTGGGGACTGCAGCCTGTGCTGGGCCATGGGAGATGTTATGTGGTGCGTGTGTGTGCGTGTACACATTTGAGAGTGCGTGGACTAGGTTACTTTGCAGACAAGTGGCCTGGTGTCTTGGGAGATACTGCTATCGGATCGCAACCCGCATGTGTGTTTATGCACTCGTTTTCTTGCTCTGTGTTAGACGTAAAGGAACTTTTGTAGGTTAAAGGACAGAAAATTTGGAACTTATCTAAAAAGTTACATAAACACCTCATAGAGTTTTTCTTAATCACATTTTTAGTGTATTTTGTTCATTCCACTGGTGAGAGAAACGGGGGAGATGGTAGCCCCAGATGTGATCCAGCCCTAGACACAGGCCCCACATCTCAGGTATACTCAGAGGCCTCCCGAGGTGAGCCTGGAGCCTCCGTGGGGGTCACTGCCTCACCATCCGGCCCCTGACACCGCTACTGGTCACGAGACTGGAATCTTCTCCCGGTGGAAGGGCATGTCCCGGAGGTAGGTAGCAAGTGACTTGTGCCCGTTAACCAGGGCAGCACTGTTGCTTCTGCCCGTTTTGCTCCTGCAGGCGGCCCCTGGGGGACAAGCATCGCTGATGAAAATATCCGACAGCACCTTGAAGTCTGTGCCAGCCGCCTCCCAGCTCTCGAAGCCTGGAACCACGATGCTGAGAGTGGCAGGAGGGGTTATCACGCCCGCCACGTCCCCAGCCGTGGCCCTCTCAGCGAATGGCCCTGCACAGCAGGTGAGAATCAGCGTGAGGAAGAGCCTGAGGAGACGGGGAAGTGTGCGGGCGGGGCACGACTCCCGGCAGCACACCTGCAGGCCGCCTTCACAGATGGGGCACAGAGCTCTCCCTGTTTTAATCTTATTTAACTTTATTTCAATGTATTTACGTACGTACTTATTTTAATTTGACCAGAGAGGGACACAGAGAGAGAAAGAGAGGAAACAAGCCTCCAGGTCCAGGACTTGAACCGCAGTCAGCCATGTTGGGAGTCCAGGGCCCTTAACCACCATGCCACCTGCCGTCCCTGAAACATAGCTGTCTTTAAAAATTGAAATACAGGGACCAGCAGTTAGCTTAATGGCTATGTCGCTGGACTCCCATGTAGTCGACCACGGTTTGCATCCTGGACCCAGTGGCTTAAAACTCACACCGGGAGCGTGTGCGTGCGTGCCCGAGATCCTGAGGGAGAATGGAGGAGAAGGGATTGCGGCGTGGCCATCCCCCCTGGAGGGGTGATTTCTTGCTTTCTGTCTCTCTGTCTCTCTCTGTCTGTCTGGCGAGTGCACACGCCCTATAGCAAAAACTTCTCAAAAAAAAAAAAATTGAAATACAGGGACCGGCAGTTGGCGTAATGGCTATGTTGCTGAACTCCCATGTAGTCAACCGCAGTTCAAGTCCCAGACCCAGTGGCTTAAACTCACGCCAGGCGCTTGTGCGTGTGTGCCCAAGATCCTGAGAAGAGAATGGAAGAGACGGGATTGCGGTGTGGCCATCCACCCGGGGGGTGATTTCTCACTTTCTGTCTCTCTGTCTGTCTCTGTCTTTCTGGTGAGCACACACGCCCTATAGCAAAAACCTCTCTCTCAAAAAAAAAAAAATGGAAATACAGGGCCAGCCTGTGGCACAGTGATTAAGCTGGTTGGTCCCACATGACGTGATCTGACAGCTTGAGAAAACCCAGGGCACATGTGCGTGCATACCCAGAATCTCGAAAGGAAGGAGAAAGGGAAGAGAAGGGATTGCGGCGTGACCGTTCCCAAGGGGCTTGCTTTCTTACTCTCCCTCTTCTGTGTCTGGCAAGTGCACATGCCCTCTGGCAAAAAAAAGAAAAGTTGAATTGAAATATAATTCACATACATTCACATGTCCAGAGTTTCATTACAGTTCTGTGGGGTTTATTACATTGACACGACCATGCCTCGTCTTCTAACCTCACACCGTTTCATCACCCCAAATAGAAGCCCGTACCCGTGAGCGGTCGCTCCCACTCCGCCTTCCCGGCACTCTGCGGCCCGGCCTGCCCTCTGCCCGGTGGCCCGGCCGCACTGCATTCGGCCTTCTGTGTCGGGCGTGTGCTCGGCGCGTTTCCGGGTTCAGCTGGGACGTTCGCGGCTCCTTTCCTTTCTGTTTGGAGTGATACCCCGGTTCGTGGCGATGCCGTCTCGTTCAGTCTGTTCATCAGCTGGTAGATGTTTGGCTCGTTCTCCGCTTTTCGTCGATTAGGAATAATACAGCTGTGGACCCTGCGTGCGAGGTTCCGTGTAAGCGTGTTTTCACCTCCCTTGGCTACATGCCCAGGAGTGGGGTGCTGTAACTGTTTAATTTCCTGAGGGGATGCCAGCTGCCTCCAGTCTCCACACCGTCTCAGACCCCTTCCAGTGGTGAGGGCTCCAGTTTGCACACCCTTGCTCACCCTGACCTGTCTGTTCACGCTCATTTCTTCGTTTCCGACCGTAGATGCGATCTGGCTTCTCGCTGTGGTTTGACTGGCAGTTCCCAGTAATGAGATACCGAGCATGAGCTCATGCCTGCTGCTCAGTTGTGTCTTCGAAGAGGTGTCTGTTCAGGTTACCTTTTCATTATTAAGTTGTAGGCGTACTTTAAATATTCTAGATACAAGTCTCTTACCAGATTTACAAATCTTTTCTCCCATTCTGAGCTTTATTTTCACTTTTTTTTTTTTTTGCTTTTTCGTGTAGTGTGAATTTTATTAGGTTGTACTAATATATCCTCGTATTACAAAAGCAATTTAGTGGAAGCACCTCCCTGTCGATATTGGAGCCATCTGAATGACACCAACAGAACTCTGTGTTTTTTAAGAAATCCTCATTTGAGTAACAAAAGAAAAAGGCAAGTTAAAGAACAAAAATTCGTTTGTTCTCGCAGTGGACATTGAGTTGGGCCTAGCTCAGTTTTCTTTTTAAAAGGCTTCAAAGACAAAAGGCAGCTTCAAAGCTAATTAAAATAAAAAAAAATAAAAAACACACGTTCTCTGGACCCTGGTCTCTACTCCACTTATGTTTTCTGTTGTTCCGATGCAGGTTCTTTATATTTTTTCTCACGCTGTTTCCACCAGTCAAGCTGTGCCATTTTCCTCGTTCACCCTCACTACCGGACTTGGTCTTCTCGCCTGGAAACTGTCCTTCCCATTAGCAGACCAGGCCGGGCCGCTTTATGTCCTTCTCCTTTAAATTTGTGACCTTTTGATTTCCATTTGTTTAGGAATTCTTGCTGATCATCTTTGACTATTTTTTTTTTTTGGATGCTGGTTTCTTTTTTATTTGTAAGAACTATTTTATTTCATTTTATTTATTCATTCATTTTTTTTTCTGATTTGACCAGAGAGAGAAAGAGGGAGAGGGAAAACGAAAAAGCAGGCTGCCAGGTCCGAGACTCAAACCATGGTTGGCCGTGTGGGAGTGTCCAGCGCCTGCTGGTCCCCTCTTTTTTCTTTTTTTTTTTTTCTTTTTGCTATAGTGCGTGCCCACTCACCGGAGAGACAGAGACAGAAAGTGAGAAATCACCCCTCAGAAGGGTGGCCACACTGCAATTCCTCCTCCCCTTGGGATTTTGGGCATGCCTGCACACGTGCCCGCGTGAGTTGAAGCCACCAGGTCCGGGAGCCACGGTCAGCCGTGTGGGAGTCCAGCAGCGCAGCTGCCACACCACCTGCTGTGCGTCCTTCTCTGACCCCCCAGCACTGCCCGGTGACTGCTTTGCTCCTCACCTGCAGCTTACCGTCATTTGCATCTTTGACTTTTCCTGGTTTTCTTGATTTTGTCTTTAAACAGAATTATTCCCTTTTACCCTCTAATGAAGTAGGTCCAGTTTATTTCACCACGATTTGAGAAAAGGACATGCAGATTTTCTGTACAGGTCTGGTCATCTGTCGGGTTGTCGGAAAAGTCATGACACAGTTTTGCATAGAAAAACATGGGGGAAATACACCATGACTTTTCCAACAACCCTATAAATCACTCCAACATTTCAGAGAGTGTCCAGTCCTTCCTGCTAGAGATTTCACTTCAGTGTCTTCTGCTAACTCCTTTTTCCTTTTTTTTCTTCAGAATTTGTTTTTGTTTTTGTTTTTGTTTTGTTTGTTTGTTTTTTGCTCTAGGGTGTGTGTGCTCGCCAGAAAGACAGAGAGATAGAAAGCGAGAAGTCACCCCTAAGACGGGATGGCCACGCCGCAATCCCTTCTCCTCCATTCTCCTCTCGGGATCTTGGGCACGCACTCACATGTGCCCAGCGTGAGTTTTAAGCCACCGGGTCCAGGACTCGAACCGTGGTTGACTACATGGGAGTCCAGCAACATTACGCCAACTCTGGTCCCCTGTTTTCCTTTGCTCTCCTGAAAGCGGGGAGTGATGGCAGTGGTGATGAAGGCGGCAGCAGCAGTGGTGGCACGAACCTGTGATCCCAGCTGCTCGGGAGGCTGAGGCAGGAGGATCTCAAGTTCACGGCCTTGTCACGGGTACAGCAAGGCCCTGTCTGAAAAGCTTGATGTGCGGGCTCATGCTTGTTGTCCCGGTGACTCAGAAGGCTTAGCTGGGAGAGTCATGACCTCCCGTGAGACCCTGTGGCAGTGGTACTCGCTTGTGGTCCCAGCCTCTCGGTAAGCTGAGGTAGGAGGGTCACAAGTTCTCGGCCAGCACAGGGCCCGTGGGGAGCAGAGCAAGGCCTGTCTGAAAGTGCTGGCATAGTCTAGTCCCAGGTTCGAGAGTTCGAGAGGCTGAGGTAGGAGACTGCAATGTAGCCTGACCCTGTCCCCTGTCAGCTCTTTGTTTTGCTTCCACTGTATTTTGTCATCTTTCCGTGTTGGTTTTCTTTTTTTTTTTTTTTTTTCCAAAGTAATCCTCCTTGAAAAGTATTAGCATCTCTGTGCCTTTGTCCTTCTGGCCAGACACACTGTTACCAAGCACAGCAAATATTGATCCCCTAAGTGCATTCCGCCATGTTCTTCCCATCTGCGTGTTTAGTATTTCACCTTCGTCTTCTCACCACTCTTCATACCATCCCGGTTGCATCGGTTGCGAAGCCTTTATACGAGCATATCTGTCCTTTACATTTTTATCCTCATCTCAGTCTGGGGAGGGGTTTGCGCGGAGACCTGCTTTCAGTTTTGTCTTCACTGATCTGTGAGCTCTGCCTGGGATTTGCTCAGTGTACCCACTGTTACGTTCAGGTCTGCCGTTAGACGGCTCAGCCGGTGGATTTTATCATTGTCTCCAAAGGTACCGAGCCTTCACCCAGGTTTTTTTTTTTTTTAATTATTATTTTACTTTATTTTATTATTTTTTAAATTTGACCAGAGGGAGACAGAGAGAGAAAGGGGAGACAAGAAAGCGAGCCATCAGGTTCAGGACTTGAACCACAGTCAGCCGTGTGGGAATCCAGTGCCTGAACCACCAGGCCAACTGCTGACCCCCGATTTATTTTTAGTTCACTAGAAATAGGGAAAGTAAGAAAGCACATCACCAGGTTTAGGAATCGAACTCCAGTCAGCCATGTGGGAGTATCCAGTGCTTTAACCACCTCGCCACCCGCTGGTCCCCATCTAGTTTTATCTGTTCCTTTAAAGACTTGTCCTGAGGCCGACAGGTGGTGTGGTGGTTAAAGCACTGGATTTCCACATGGCTGGCCGCCGGTTGTGGTCTGGACCTGGTGGCTTGCTTTCTCATGTCTGTCTGTCTGTCTCTCTCTCTCTGTCTCTCTCTCTCTCTCTCTCTCTTTGTCCCTCTCAGGCCAAATTGAAATAAACAAATGAATAAATAAAGAAAGTTAAATAAAAACGTGTCCTGTAGCAAATTGAAGTCTCTAAAATAGTACTTAGTTTGGTGACAGATTTTGGCCTCCAGAGCAGCCATTTTTAAAAAATACTTTTTTTAAAGGATTATTTTACTTAACTTTATATATTATTATCATTACTTTCTAGTTTGATTAGAGAGAGACAGAGAGAGAGAAAGAGAAAGTAAGAAAGCAAGCCACTAGGTCCAGGACTCGAACCATGGTTGGCCATGTGGGTGTCCAGCGCCTTTAACCACCACGCCGCCTGCTGGTGCCAGTGTTATTATTATTTTTTAATTTGCCATAGAACTGTTGTGTACTCACCAGAGGCAGAGAAAGGGAATAAGAAAGCAAGCTGCCAGGTCTGAGACTTGAACCACAGGTGGCCATGTGAGTTTCCAGCACCCCAACCACCATGCCATCAGCTGGCCCCCCAGAACAGCCTTTTTTTTTTTAATTATCACCATTTTCAGCCATTGCGGCTATCTTTTTTCTCTCTCCTTTTTTAATTTTGTTTTGTTTTTGCTATAGGGCACATGTGTTTGGTGGAGAGAGAGACAGGAAAAGTGAGAAATCCCCTTTGGGGGTGGCCATGCCACATTCCCTTCTCTTCCATTCTCCTCTCAGGACTTTTGCAAATACGCAGTAGCGCCCGGCATGAGTTTCAAGCCTCTGGGTCCAGTACTCAAGCAGTGGTGAGCCGTGTGTGAGTCCAGAGCCTTAGCCACTGTGCTCCCCCGCTGGTCCCCATCGTGGCCGTCTTCAGGACCCGTCCTGCAGAGGCGTACCACACAGGCTCGCTCACCGCCACGACCTGCAGAGGCGTACCACAGGCTCGCTCACCGCCACGGCACATCTCACCCCCTGCAGTGCCCGCTGGCCTAGCAGGCTCACCGACAGCCGAGGCTGTTGTCTTTTCCCTTTTCCCTTTCTGAGTATCGTTTGACCTGCAGGAGTTTTTATGTTGGTAAAGTCTGCTTCACCTGTTTTCTGCTTGTTCTTTTGCACTGAAAAAGAAAAGTGACACTTTTGCGGTAAACCATGTAATACTTTTTGGTGTCACATCTAAAAAACTCTTGGCGAATCCAAGGTCACAAAATAGAAACCTATATTATTTTATCCTTCCATTTAGGTCTTTAGTCCTTTCTCAGTTTATTTTTGGATGGTGTCAGGGAGGAGTCAAACTTCAGCCTTTTTCATATAAATATCCCATCCACATCCCCTCAGCGTTGCCTGAGAACCCCAGCGGTAGGATCTGACTTTGCTTCCTTCTCAGACTCCCCCCGACACTGGTGGTCACATGCCTGTTTGCTGCTTAGCAGTACTCCCCGCCTCTGGGCGGTTCTGCACCCTCTCCTGCCGAGAAACACTCCCATAGCGCTCCCTCCATCTGCCTTTCCTCGACTCCCTGGAGGTCCTCGCTGTGTGCTCCAGTGCCCTGCCCTGCCCCGCAGCAGGAGCCATGCCCCCCTCTGGGTGTGTCAGTGCCACGCAGCTCTGTCGGCTGTGGTGCTCGTCACTTTGGTGGCCCTGCTCTGACGGCTGTTACACCTGTGCCCTGCCCTGCAGCGGGAGCCGTGCCCCCCTCCGGGTGGGTCAGGGGCC